TGGACTAAAAGACCTCCAAGGCAGGGGAGAAATCCAGCAGCTTCTGATAGGTTCTGGAGAACCAGTAGCAGAAATTTTGAGTAGTTCAGAGAACCGGCAAATACCACCTATGGCTGGTCCCAGAGTGGGGTGGGAATGGAATCCTTCCCCCAAGAGTGGGGAGGGAATGGGGATTTTGCAGTATCCTTCCCCTGGAGTGGGGTGGAAATGGGGATTTTGCAGTATCCTTCCGCTACCACGTCCACCAAGCCAGGCCCAAGCCAGGCCCACAGAACTGGTAGTAAAAAAATTTGGATTTCACCATTACTCCAAGGTTCCTTCCAACTCTGTTATTCTATATGGATTGCAGATATCTCCACAGCCCACGTAACAAAATGACAAAAGTGGCCTGCCAAAGGCACATGGAAAGGAGTATCTCTAAAAATGCAGTTATTCTATCAGCACCACGCAAGGATCGTTTTATTCTGATCTTAGTGACCAAGCATTCCTTTGTATGCAGAAAGTCCAAGTTTCTCATTAATGAAAGACAGATATGAAATGAACCCTTTCTGCTTGGAGAGCTACAGTATACCAGACGCAGCAGGGAAATCTGAGTTCCCTTTGGAGGAGATGAGCAGCTACATACTTCATTTAATTAATAAATACACACAATGGACCAAGAGCATCTTTTTAGCTTCTTAAATATTGTGCATGCAATGGAATAATTTTTGAGCCCAGGTGTCATTTGCCAACACCTTTTGAATCAGACAGAGTTATGAGGATTAGCACTTTGCTTTTAAGTAGAAAAGACAGTTAGGAACTCTGAACTCTTTTGTTCAGAATCTCCTTCAGCTAAACATATCCTGGCCTACAATACATAAAAAAGTGGACTACAGAAGGACAGGTTGTTCAGTACCCCAAGCCAAGGATATCATATCATTATCTATTTTCAAACTGTCTTCTATTAACATATAATAAAGCCAATGGGCAAATGCAGATACATTATTCAGTGAGTTTAGCAGAATGCACAAAACATCGGTTGAAAGGCATTCCTCTGCAAAGTGAATTGTGCTATATCTTACTAGTACTCGTGTGTGTGCATGTGTGTATGTATGTATGTATGTATAAAATTATCTTCAAAACAAAAATAGGGGCTACTGTAATTTTATAATGATTAGCAGGTACACAGACTTCATCATTCAGGGACAATAAAAATGATAAACAACAATTTGAACTGCCTCAGAATAAGGTGCTAAAAAGTATAGATTAGAATGCAGTGATGCAACCAGGGAAATGACATCACAAGGCAAGATCAGAACAGGCTGGGGGCAATGTCCTGCCACCTCAGAGTTGCTTTACATAACCAGCTTGCCTGCACCCATGAGAAGAACAGACTACAAGATACCTCAATAACAACATCTCATCTACAACAGTTGAGCTGAAAAGAAGCCTATTCACCTGGCATTGTGCTAATTTCAAAGAAGAACTTCAATCTCCAGGCATGCTAGTTACCTTTTTATTTTTAAAAATATACCAGAATAGTCCTGTGCCTTAAACAGACCCAAAGGCTACTTGTTATCACATGTGGTTTTCTAACCAGTTAGATGTTTCTGGAAAATTCTATTTTTCCTGTCCCATAATTAGTGCTGCTATTGTGAGATTCAATCTCACAATACCAGGCTTAGTACCAGGCTAAGAGTAAACTGTATCCTCTACAAGTAGGACTGTTGGTCATATACAGAAGAGTATGTATGGCCTTCTCAGCTGGAGATTTTGTTTCATTGTAGAAAGCCACAAAAAAATAAAATCTGCCTCTTTTCACAGATGTGTGAACAGATCTAATCCCTGATGCGAGTGGATCAGTGCTGGAATCTATCTTAAATGTAAATATATATCAGCATTCCCCAGCTATGGTTGTTAGAAACCTCAGACCCCAGAATATGTGCAGCTCTACTCCTCCAACCCAAAATTAGACTATATATATTTTTAATAAACCCAGAATCCCTCCCCCATCAGTGGGTCAAAATACCCAAATGTAGATCACGACTATGTGATCAAAACCCCTCCCCTTTTTAGTGTGTGTTATCTTCCCCTTTAAGATAAATTCTCAAGAAAATATTGACTTAACTGCCTATTTTGCATCACTAATTTACTCTGCAGCTTCTGGCTATCCAAAATTAGTTAACTGTAGTACTCAGACATGAAAAAGTTGCTCATCCATTCCGACTAGAAGCTCTCCTATGTTAGCTGTGCTAGGAAGAAATGTAGCCGATTATATTTGGGGATGACTCCACTAAGAAAGTTAACACTGATCAAGGTGAAGTCTTGTTGAAAAAAATACCAGGTTGAATATATAGACTAGTGTTTCTCAACCTTAGTTTTAAGATAGTAGATTTCAATTCCCAGAACTCTGAATTTTGAATTCATATTAATGTTGTATGTGTCAGGATTCCAAGTAACACCCCCAACGAAAGAAAACTTAGAGGCTTGAGTTTCCTCAAAGTTACACTTTATTAGAGATATCATATTGGCACATCTGGGAAAACCTGAATCTGAAAGTTTCCAGGTTTTTCCCACTCAAAGAAAGGAAAATTCAAGTCCCTACCCAACACACACAAGTCCATCACATGGTCCAATCAAAGTACCTTCCCAACTGGAGATGCCTCCCAGTTCCAGCCTTCCAGGTGCAGGGCAAGTTGTCTTCGACTCTCTGAGAAAGCAATGTTATTATGACTACATATCACCCATGCTCCATACAATCTCCCCTCCCAATTTCCCACAGTAGTAAATGTGGCAGGTCTGAAGCAGTGGTGGGTTGCCCCTGGTTCGGTCCGGTTCTTGCGAACCAGTAGTAAAAATGGAAACAGGCTCCGCCCACCCACCTAGATGTCGTCATAGACAATCGGTGCATTGTGAACCGGTAATAAAGGTAAATAGAACCCACCCCTGGTTTGAAGGCCCAGTGCAAAAGATGGCTTCCAGGCCTGACAACATGAATCTATAAGTATGGGTCCTCTATAAACCCAGAATTCTGGGAGCTGAAGTCCACATGTTGCCGTGGTTGAGAAACACTGCTCTAGGCAATGGCCTGGTAGAAAGTTGTTTGGTCTATTCATTAACCTGGCCATTTTATCTCATCCCAGCTGGAACAGCTGGAATTACATTGCCATGAAGTTGAGAGAAAACAACTCTTAAAAATAACAAATGGTTGTTTTTCAGCCATTCTTGAGAGAAAACCATATCTCTTTTGAATAGCTGCTTGTCAAAGTGGACCCCAATAGTTTCTGGGTACCTGGGCCAAGCCTATTGAACTAAAAGAATTTTATCAATGCTTCTCTTTCCTTAACTCGGGGCCAGGAAAAGAAAAAAATAATCCTTCACCTACCACATTGCTGCATGTCATGGTGCAATTAAACACAGAGACAAAAGGTCAGTAAAAAATTACAATTCCTATTTTTCCAATAACTTCATTGGCTTTAAAATAAAATATATGGGATGGCAAATCCAGGAAGGTTCAAAAAAGTTCTAAAAACATTTGAGTAGTAAGCTGAAATTTGAAGTTCTATAACTGGATAGGGAAAATGTAAGGTACAAGTATAGGATGGAGAAGGCCTAGCTTGACAGTGGTACCTATGAAAATGGCTTAAATATGAGCCAGCAGTATGATGCAACTACTAAAAAGACAAATGTTATTTTGGGGGGCATTAACAGGAATATGGAATCCAGACTCTGGGAATTTCCTGTTCTACTTTACTCTGCCCTGGTCAGACCCCGTTTGGAGTATAGTATCCAATTCTGAGCAACATAGTTCAAAAAGGGCAGTGATAACATGGAACAAGTTCAGAGGAGGGCTACCAAGCCCTATGAGGAATGATTAAAGGAACTGGATATATTTACTGTATAGAAAAGATAACTGAGGGGAAATGTGATGGTAATCTTAAAAAAACCTGAAAAGCTATCTCCCCAAAGAGGAAGTAAACTTGTTCTGTATTGTCCAAAGGGCTGGAGCAGTGGATTTAAAGGATTATACCACAATAAAGCAGGTTCAAACATGAAGAGGATCGTCCTGAGCCATCAGTCAGTGAAACAGGTTGCTGTATCATGTGGTGGATTATTTATCACTAGGGAACTCCAAACAAAGCTGGATAGTCTAGTGCAAGGGTGTCAAACTTAAGGCCCACAGGCAAAATTCGGCCTGCCGGGTGCTTAGATGTGGCCCATGGGAAACAGCGAAGGACCAGCCCATGGTGTCTCTGCCTGCGAAAACGGAGCTCCATTTCCAATTGCGACAGCCTCTACAACCCTCTGAGGGTTGCAGGAGGCCGTCACAGCTGGAAACGGACCTCCATTTTCACAGGTAGAGGGTTGCAGGAGGTTGTTGCAGTCAGAAACGGAGCTCGCGAGGGCTGCATGTGGCCCTCCCGAGCACTGTTTTTGCTGGACCAGGAAAAGGATTGCAGGAGGCCATTGCAGCTGGCAGAGCACTCAGGCCACCAGTCTCCCCCGATATGAGTGACATCGAGCTGGCCACGCCCCCTGGCCATACACACACACACACACACACACACACACACACACACACACACAGCGCCTGAGGTCAAACACAACCCTGATGTAGCCCTCAATGAAATCGAGTTTGACACCCTTGGTCTAGTGGATCCTGAACAGGTGGTTGAACTAAATGACTTCTATGGTCCCTTCCAATATTGTGATTATATGATTCCACAGCAAAAGTATTTACTTGCTGCTTCGGATTCCAGTACACATATATATGACAGTAGGTTTGGTCTCATAATAAAACCTATAATGTTTAGCAGAGAAAAATTGAGATCTGTTATTCTTAGATCAAATAAGGGAGGTCTTGAAACCAGGTCCATTGCCATTAAACTTCGTATAGATTCCATCAGTCTGATTTTCTTTTCTTTCTTTTCTTTTTATTTTAAAGTCTTTTTATTGTTTGTTAAAGGACAGAACATGACAAACACAATATATTCATATACTCTGATTAACTTTGATAAGGTTAAAGGAGCTCCAGTCAGCTTAAACAATCAAGCTAAGCAGCCCTGAACTGACATATCTATTGGCCAGATGGGATTTTTGTCATGGCTCAAAAGACAAAATTTTGTCCTGAGCTTTCAGAAGAGTTCCAGCAGAGAATCTGTACCAGACAGAGAAGTTCACAAGAAAAAAAGGAGTCATCATCATCAAGGTGTTTCCGGTGAGTCAAAGGTCTTTCATGTGAGTCAAAAGGATGCTCTGTCCATCCAGAGAATTTAAACTGCAATCCTTTTAGGGAATAAGTCAATTAAACCGCATTAACAATTGGTAACAGTGCAAGCAAATTGCTTTCTCATAATCCCCTATTGCCCCAATTCAAAACCAAACTGCTTTCTACCCTAACCCAGGTAAGTTATTTTGTCCACTGGATGGAAAAAACCCTTTAGCCCTGGCAGTACTAAAACAATAAGATCAAATTTTATAGCTTACTGTTTGCCATCCCTTCAAATTATTTAAAATCTGTTAGCCAGATTGATCATCTCACTTTATCTAATCATGGAGCTAGTCCAATAAACTATATTATTGCTGGACCTAACTAGTTTTAGCATTCGTGAAACTCTTTTAAATGTAAGCCTACTCTCATAATTTTATCTTTACATATTTTTTAAAAACCAATCTAGCTGAACAGAATGAAAATAAAAAGAGCAATAAAATGTGTTTATAACCTAGATAAAACCATCAGTCCGTATCTAAGTATCAGATCTCATATTTCACTAAGCCAAAATGCAATTTGCTGGATTTTGGCTTAGCATGTTCTAGAAACTGACCCTCTGTAAATCTTGACTTACAGCTTAGCAACTTGTATAATTCCAGATAAGTATAGTTTATTTAATTAACTGTAGTTTACAACAATGATGAGAATAGATCTAAAACATGCAATTTATAGACTCATGAAGGTCTAAACACTGAAAGATAATGGAATTGGCAACTTGTTGTAGAGAGTCCTAAAGGTAGAGAAAAGCTTGAAATGAAAATTTCAATTTTGAGACCAGTTCAAATAGGATGACATATATTTTGAGATCTCACTAGCTCCTCAAGACAGTGAATGGTAGCTAGTTATCTCCAAGAGACAAAAATAAAATGGTTTCTAATAACCAGCTGAAGAGTCATTATAAATAATGCAGCACATTATGAGGAAATGATCAATATGATCAATATTTGCATGGTGTGATATATCTATAAATGCAGGTTTTTTTTTACTTATTTATTTCTTGAATTGATCTCTATAGCCACTCATCTCACAGTAGTGCTCAAGATATGGAATATAGGATTAAAAGCAACAAAATAAAAACAATACATAACAATTATAAAGAACAATAACACAATGATAGCACAATGGCACAGAGGGCAATCAAACTTGAGCCACATAACCACAGTCATGTCAAAGAAATTAGAGCACAGGTGTCAAACTCACCAAGTCATGTTGCCGTCATGTGACGTATCGTGGCGTTTTTTTTCCCTTTGCGGAGCTGGGGTGGGCATGGCCAGTACATGATTCATTCGGCCTGCAGGCCACCAGTTTGACGCCTCTGAACTAGAATGATGGGATCATCCATACTACAGACTCCATGCCTGGAAAAAAAAAACAACCCAGATTTTTGAGAATTTATGGAACATCAGCCGGCTAAATAAATTTTGGGGGATATAATTTTTCCAAAGAGCAGGTGCTGCTACACAGAAAGTTTTTACCAGATGACACTGCTTAATAAATGTGACTTGGAGCATGCTCACCTTGTCAGATCTACTCCAACTAGCAGTAACAGAGGAAGACAGTCTCACAAATAACCTATGGGGCCATCTATGTTAACATGGCGGTTTAACTGTTTTGATCTCCGTTTAAGAATAACTAGGAATTGTAGTTCTGTGGTAGCAACTGAAAGGTTTTTTAGAAACCAGCCTGATAATTAACAAGGCACAGCACCAACATTGCCAATAAAAGTCTAGATAAGATTTCTGTGCTCATCCAAATAACTGAGGCCTACCTTGAAGGAGTCAATGGTGTGCCCTTTCTCAAGAAGCCATCTCTGGATTCAACTATTTTAGGCAGCTTGTCCAGTCTCCAAACTTCCCTTTCTGCGGAAAGTTCTTGAACAGGTTGTAGATGCTCAGCTACAGATAAAATAGATTATCTGGACCCTTTTCAGTCTAGGTTCAGGCTGGCATACAGAACTGAAATGGTAATGATTATACTTGCAGATGGCCTCTGGAGGGTTCATGATGGTGATAATGCAACCAACCTGGTCCTTCTGAATCTCTCAGCAGCTTTTGATACCATTAAACATGGTATCCTTTTGAACCATCTTCAGAGACTGGAGTGGGAGGCACTGGTTTGCTGTGTTCCTCCTCCTTTTCCCATAGTTGGTTTCAAATGGTGCTGGAGGGGAGAAAGGTTGATTCCCTAAGCCCCTGCTTATGTGGGGTACCTCCAAGGCTTAGGCCTATCTCCTCTCATTAACTGGGTGAGCTCATTCACCAGCAAAGGGTGCCGTATCACCAGTACACTGATGATACCCAGTTATACACTTCTACCCCTGGCTGGGTAGGTGATACTGCTGTGGTGGTAACTGAATGCCTAGAGACTCTTAAGAGCCTGGATGGGGAGGAACCATCTTCAATTTAAGCCTGGCAAGATGGCTTTTGGCTCCTCACACTCTGGTGACTTCCATCTTTAACTCTGGAAGGGATGGCATTTTCCCCAGACAGAGATGATGTAGAATTTGGAGGTCCTCCTAGACCAGAGGTCTTCAAACTTGGCAGCTTTAAGACTTGTGGACTTCAACTCCCAGAATTCTCCAGCCATCTCTGTCCTACAGAACAGAGGATACTTATGTCCTAGACTCATGGTTGCTGCTTGATGAGCAAGTGGTTGGGGAAACCTCTAGGTTTATCATATTATATATGTATTGCATGAACTGCAATGGCTCCCAGATGCAATACTGAGCCATGGTGGTGCAGTGGTTAGAATGCAGTATTGCAGGCTAATTCTGCCGACTGTCAGCAGTTGGATCCTGACTGGTTCAAGATTGGCTCAGCCTTCCATCCTTCGAAGGTTGGTAAAATGAGGACCCAGATTGTTGGGGGCAATATGCTGACTCTGTAAACTGTAAACCACTATGAAGTGCAATATAAATCTAAGTGCTATTGCTACTTGCTATCACCTTTAAAGCCCTACATTATGCAGGACCAGGTTATATATGGATCACCATTCCCTGAGGATAAGTGCCTGTCCCATGAGAAGAGATAAGGTAGCCACACTCCAGGTCCCTTCCCTTAAACATTGCCATCTTGTGAGTGCTCGGAAGCATGCCTTTTCCATTGCAACCTCCCACAAGAGATCTCCACCCTTTTAATCTTGCTGAAAACACTTAGGACTTAGTTCTTCTTGTGTGTTGTAAGTTGCGGACTACCTTTATGTTGTTTTACTGTAGGTTGTAAGTCATCTAGAGTTTGATTTAAGATGGGCAACTATACAGATGTTTTAAATAAATAATAATATTTATATATAGCATGATTGCTTTTATAGTAATTTTTCTATAATATTAAGAGACAGAGGTCTAACTGCTAGCCCAGCTGCTGTGGCTTAGAGGTGGAGCTCTTGCTTCACAATCAGGAAGTTGTGAGTTTGATCCTAGGTAGAGGCAGATATAGGGTCTCCTGCTTGGGCAGGGGGTTAGACTAGATGACCTGCAAGGTCCCTTCCAACTCTATTAATCTGTTACTTATCTGTTAACTTCCAATTCATGGCTACATATTTTTGAATTTCTATTCTGTGTAAACATGATAGGGGCAGCATGGTGGCTCAGTGGCTAGTTGCTGGGCTTGTCAGCTGGAAATTTAGCAGCCCAGGTTCAAAACCTAAGGTGAACTCCTGTCCTTTCCCAATTCCTTGCCCACCTATCAGTTCAAAAGTATGCAAATGCGAGTAGATTAATAGGTACCACTTTGGTGGGAATGTAACAGTGCTCTATGGCAGGGGTGGGCAAATATGGCCCCTTTATGACCTGTGGACTTCAACTCCCAGAATTCCTGAGCCAGCTTGGCTGTCTCAGGAATTCTGGGAGTTGAAGTCCACAGGTTGTAAAAGGGCCACAGTTGCTCACCCCTGCTCTATGGCATCATGCGGGCCACATGACTGCAGAAATGTCGTCGAACAGCGCTGGCTCAATGGCCTTGAAATAGAGATGAGCACTGCCCCCTATGGTTGGCAACGAGTAGTGGAGTAAAATCTGCAGTGTTTCCTTTACCTTAAACATAGCAAGGATAAAATGTAAGTATCCAAATAGAAACCTACGTCATTATTAAATGAAAGTATAAAATTAGTTGCCTCTTTATTAGCAATTCTTTTCAGTTCATTTATTTCACATTATGCTAATTCTAATCAGTCTGCCTTTGAAGGGCAGACAAATTTCAGATCTTATCAGAAGGCTATTAAATATAATATAGTTCATAGTAAAATTACCAAACTTTTTTTGACAATTCTCTGTGCATATAAACCACTTGTCTTAATTTGTGCTTTTTAAGTAGAATGGGATTACCTTTTCGTAATATAACAAATAAATTGTACTTTAAATCATTTCCTAGTGTTAGAGTTAATGAAAGAGATTCAACACAATTTAGAATTGCTAGTGTTACTGAACAAGAGTGATCGCTGTTCACTCTGTTATTTATATTTTGTTTAGAACCCTTTGGTTTTTATATTAGAAAACAATTTAGAACCTCTAGGTCAGTGATGGAGAACCTTTTTTTCCTCAGGTGCTGAAAACGTGCGTGCAACAGGGCACACACATGTGCTGACACCCATAATGTAATGCCCCCCTGCAGGCCCCACCCCCCGCACATGCGCGCGTGCCTCCCCCCACCACTTTTGGTCCCAGGAGTCTTCAGGGAGGCCTCCTACCACCAAAACTGGGGATGGGCGTGCTGCTCCCCCCAGGCCCCGTTTTTGTGCTAGCATACCTCCCTGAAGCCTCCTGGGACCAAAATCTGGCCGCGGGGGGGGGAACCACACACCCCTGCGCATGCGCACATGACCCCCCCATGCATCCGCGCATGTCTCCCTCACATCTATAGCCTGAAAAGGCTATAGACAAAAAGGAACTATATTTTATATTTGTTAGGAATACCTAAAATAACATAAAATTTCTACAATAAATCAAGTGAGGAAAGTAGCTGTATTACTTTTAAACCATTTGCAGCAGAAGTAAAATTATATTTTTTTGTCTATCTGTTCTAAGCCTAGTTAAGAACTACTTCAAAAGACATGCTAATTACCCTGCTTGTATCTGTCAGACTGACAATAATTCAGTGCTGGAAATCAGATTCCCCACCCACTCATACCACTTGGCATATAGTAAAATAAAACATGGTAAATTGTATAGAAAAAGTAAAATAGAGTGTTTTAAAAGATACACAGACCCAAAAGGTTTTATAATACGTGCCATTCTTTTATAAATGTTATTAATGATAGTAAGATTCTTCAGAACTATAGAGTACTCTGGTCAAATATTTACTCTCTTAATGTTGTATATTAGTACTATGCTTGTTGACTATGTCTTTTCAGGAGTTGTTTTATTTTATATTAAAGATAAAAAGAGCACTGAAAGACCTCTATGTTTAGCTTGATAAATAGAATCTTTGTACATAAGATTATTGTTGAAGGCCCTGATGCAGTGGTGGGTTCCTCCCGGTTCGGTCCGGTTCGGCCAAGCCGGTAGCGGTGACGATATGACATCACCGAACTGGTTCTCCCCCCCGCCCTCCCACCCCCCCACGTTATTCTTACCTTTTATTTGGTCCCACCCCCAATCTATTGCTGCCTCCTGAGTCCCAGTTGATGACTAGAGGGAAAAAAACTGTTTAAACTCTTGCCGCAGGGCTTCAAAGGGCCGTCCCACAGCTGATCAGTGTTAAAAGCAAACAAATGAGTCGGGTTGTAAGTGCGAGGACTGGTCGTAAGTGCGAGGACCTTCCAGAAATGACTCTGACCAGCTAGCCACGCCCACCTAGTCACATGCCCTCCAAGCCACACCCACAAAATAAGCCACGCCCACAGAACCGGTAGTAAAAAAAATTAGAACCCACCCGTCCCCTTATGTCTCATTTGCAGATAGCCTGGTGCTGGATCTCTTTCCCAGGATTGAGCAGAGTTTGGATTTTACTTCTGTGGTCCAAGCCCCTAGCAAGGCAGTTCTGCAGAAATACCTTGAAAAAGGAGAATACCCTTCATTTCAGTCTGTTGCCATGTTTGAAAGCAGCTTTGTCCAGGTAAGAACCAGCCAACCTCTCCCAATCTGGAAACTCCTGGTTGTGTTGCATTGCAATTTCTACCATCCCCATCCAATGTAACTAGTTGGAGGTAGGCCTTGGAGTGTAATACACCTAAGAGGGAGCATAATGGGAAAGGAGAATGCTCCAAAATCCACAGGTTCTTCATGGTGTAGTGCTACTTGGAAGAACATTAAAGAAATATAAATAGATGCTAGGTCAATATGAACAGTGGAAACATTAGCAGAAATGTTCTTGACTTGGTTTAATAGATGGTTAGCTACTTGGAGGATGCTATGCTTATAATTCAAATGAACTCGGGCAATGTATATGAATCTCCTTTTTATCTTCCTAAAAATCTTATTAAGATTGTAGACATATTTGAACCTAAGTCCAACCTCCTAATAGTCATTGCATCAGACATCGAGGTGATATATTAGTTTTTAGTTTTTTTCACATACTAAGATTATAGGTAGTCCTTGATTTACAACCAAAATTGAGCCCAGCATTTCTGTTGCTGAGTGAGACATTTGTTGAGTGAATTTTGTCACATTTTGTGATGTTTCTTGCCACAGTTATTAAGTGAATCCCTGCAGTTGTTAAATGAGTAACAAGGTTGTTAAGTGAATCTGGTTTCCCCATTGACTTGGCTTATTAGAAGTTTGCAAAAGGTCATCGCGTGATCCCAGGACTCTGCAGCAGTCATAAATATGAGTCAGTTGCCAAATGGCTGGGTTTTGATCATGTGACCATGGGGATGTTGCAATGGTTGTAAAATCACTTTTTTCAGTGCTGTGGTAACTTTGAATGGTCACTAAATGAACTGTTGTAGGTCAAAAACTACCTGTATACTGATCTGAAATTAGTAAAAGTCTTTGTATACTCTCAATGGTTTTCATGTGACTTGAGATGGTCAGCTAGTCCCTTAATATGCTAGTAACTAAGTAGTTACTGATTCAACTTCTGTTCTGGTAGAAATGCTTCAAAAAGAGACAAGTTGTTTCATAGTGATGGGAACGCTTACCTTGCTCATTTCCCAGATCCTGAAATTTCCTCTTTTCTACAACAGCCAAAGTGCTCCCTACATCTGCTCAGTAGCTTTCTTTGCACAATGGTTGATTCCCATGAAAAGCAGAAGGTTTTGATAGTATTATCACAGGAGAACTCCAGACCAATTTCAGAACAGCTAAGATTTATTTTCCCACTCTGCTGTGGTATCACCATAATCAATGCAACACTAATTTTTGCCTTGTTTTAGTTTCTGACACTTCATTTACATATTAGGAGAAATATAAGCTTTAGTCCTCCTCCTAGCTCTGAAACTTCATCCTGTATGAGAATTGTTAGATCAATGTTTTTCAACCTTGACAACTTGAAGACGTGTTGATTTCAACTCCCACAATTCCCCAGTCAGCAAAGCAGGCTGAAGAATTCTGGGAGATGAAATCCGCATCTCTTCAACTTTCCAATGTTTAGAGACACTGTGCAAGATGGAGCATTAGTAGGTCCCCTACAATAATGCAGACAAATCAATGTTTAGAGAATTAACCTCTTCACTTCAATGAAGTCCAAATCTTGTTTTTAACACCCTTTATTTCTCTTTTATGAGAAATGTTTTTGTTCCTGCAAAATATATAGAGAATCGAATTACTACTGAAGAATGTGATTAATCCTCCTCAAACACTAGCCAAATTATTTTACGATATTGCTACCTAACCACATCTATTTGCATTTCAGCAGGTGAAAATGTATTATGCTAAAAGGGTTGGTGTCAGGGTTCCAAGTAACACCCCCAACGAAAAAAAAGACTCCGAGTCTCAAAGTTCCTCGAAGTTCTATTTTATTAGAGATGTCATATTGGCACATCTGGGAAAACCTGAATCTGAAAGTTTCCAGGTTTTCCCCACCCATAGAAAAGTCCAAGTCCCTTCCCCTGCACCCACATGTCCATCACATGGTCCAATCAATGCACCGTCCCAACTGGAGATGCCTCTCAGTCAAACCCCTCCAGGTGCAGGGCAAAAGGAATGTTATTTATTTATTTGTTTGTTTGTTTGTTTTAATTTGTATACCGCCCTTCTCCAGCAGGACTCAGGGTGGTGAACAGCCAAAATAGAACATAACATACAAAATTTAAAAACAGTTTAAAAATAATTAAATATTTTTGGCCACAATTTAAAACAACCCAATTAAAATCAATTAAATTTAACCAAAAACTGTGGGATCAAGCCAGCCCGGCTAGGTGAAATAAATAAGTTTTCAGGGCCCGACGAAAAGTCCGGAGGTCTGATATTGTACGTATCTCTGGGGGGAGGTTGTTCCAGAGAGCAGGAGGCGCCACAGAGAAGGCTCTCCCCCTGGGGGTCGCCAGCCAACACTGTCTGGCGGACAGCACCCTGAGGAGGCCCTCTCTGTGCAAGCATACTGGCCGGTGGGAGGCTATTGGTGGCAGAAGGCGGTCTCATAAATACCCCGGCCCTAAGTCATGGAGTGCTTTAAAGGTGGTCACCAACACCTTGAAGCGCACCCGGAAGACCACTGGGAGCCAGTGCAGCTCGCGCAGGAGAGGTGTCACATGGGAGTGCCCCGTAGCTCCCATAATCCCCCGCGCGGCCATATTCTGGACCAGCTGGAGCCTCCGGGTGCAACCCAGGGGGAGCCCCATGTAGAGAGCATTGCAGTAGTCCAGGCGGGAGGTGACGAGTGCTTGAGTGACCGTGGGTAGGGAGTCCCAATCTAGAAAGGGACGCAACTGGCATATCAGGCAAACCTGATAAAAAGCCCCCCTGGCCATGGCCGTCATATGCTCTTCTAAAGACAGCCGTGCATCCAGGAGGACACCCAAGTTGCGAGCCCTCTCCGTGGAGGCCAGTGATTCGCCCCCAATAACCAGCGATGGCACCAGCTGGCTATATCGGGACGCCGGAAGCCACAGCCACTCGGTCTTGGAAGGGTTGAGTCGGAGCCTGTTTCTACCCATCCAGGTCCACACGGCCTCCAGGCACTGGGACATCACTTCAAGGGCATCGTTGGGGTGGCCTGGGGTGGAGATGTACAGCTGGGTGTCATCAGCGTACTGATGGAACTCCACCCCGAAGCTACGGATGATCTCACCCAACGGCTTTACATTATGACTATATTATCTCCCCTGGTCCGTACAATCCCCTCTCCCAGTTTCCCACAGCACTAAATGTGGCAGGCCTGAAGATCCAATGCAAAGATGGCTTCCAGGCCTGACAGTTGGATAAAGAGATAGCGGTGATATGTGAATAAATACAAAATAAATGAAAATGAAAATGTATGTACATACCTACATATAGACAAGAGATGCAAGATAATGCAAGGTTAACAAGTAACTGCACTAGTTCATCTTGCAACCAGTTTTGCTTCAGGTCTTACAAAGAAGAATGGAGCTACACAGGGAGAAAGAAATACCAAATAAGCAGGCATGTTCCTGAAACTACTGAGGAATATGAAATCAGATAACTAATACAGGCTAAATAATGGAAAAAGCAAAATAATACGAAAAGCAGGTTTCTTTTTGCTCATTTAATATAGCACAGCTTTTGAATGTAAAACAGGCTAATGGATACAGCAGTGCAGACTATTTTTCTGAGGACTCTTTATAATGAACAAGAAATTATGTAAAAACTAAGTTTGGAGAAGCAAAATAGCAAAATAGTTCAGAATTGGAAAGGAAGTGAGTCTTTAGAAAGGACCATTATAGTGAAAGCAATAGTCTCTCTGTAGTAACATATGAATATTGGAGATTGACAAGAGCAAAAGAGATGGTCCATATTATGGATTTGGAGATAATTACTAAAATTGCTGTTGACTTGAATAACCAACTAATCAATTTTGTAGCAAACAAAGCTTTGCTGCTCCTTTGAAGCAAAGATCAGCAAGCAGAAACTCACTTATTTTGTCCACGTGATGCAAGCTGATAATGGACTACATCAAATGACTATATTTGGCAAGGTATTAGAGAAGTAAAAGGAAGTGAAGGTAATGAATGTGGTTAAGATTGATCAAAGGGATTACTGAAAAGACCTTGGAAGAGTTTTGAATTATTGCTAAAGACAAGTCAAGATGGCAAATATACTGCAGTCACCAATAGCTAAACCTAATTTAATAATATCTAAATGAAAAAAAATTGCATTGGCAAGAATAGTTACCTCACTTGATAGTGAACCCAGTTCAAAGCACTTCCCAATCAGAGGATGTCATATGGGGGGGGGGGGAATGTACCACCATAAATCAAGATAAAATGTTGGTTGGGTCCATGTAATTTTCTGCAGTAGATTAAAGTGAAATTATGATAGTCCATGTTTCAGTGTATTGTAGGGCTTTAGCCACTGACTTAACATGTTGTACAAAACAGTCCATTACATTTAAGTTATAATGTGTTTAAATTGTTGGGTATAGCACACTAGGAGAACTTAGCAATTATATGTTATAGACCGAGCTTTAAAGTTTAGCAAGTTGAATAAACCCATCTCTTTAGAACTTTTGATGGTGCAAAAAGAAACGATACATAGCATACATCTCAAAACCAGTAGTGAAAAACAAATTACAGGTACTTCATTGGAGCTGTTAATTATCCCTCTCACATATATATCCTTTGTTTATGTTCTTCCTTGAAAAAAAAGCTTCTGTTTAACATCTGCTTTTGGTTTCCTTCATCCCAGGTCACAAGAAAAGGCAGACATGTCTTCATCCACAACTCTTCCAATGAAGCCATAATAGGAATTGCCTCCACCAACAGCAAGTTGGCACTGCCCAATCTGTTGTTTATTGCTCGTCCTGTTGCAGAACAGGTCTCCTCGCCAGGCTCGCAAGCAGAGGAACTGACACTCACCAGGTTAAGTTACATAAGTGATCCAAATGCATCTATTCAAAGTTTGTATTTGCTAACAGCTGGATAAAAAGTAACAGGATTATAGTGCTAGGGAGAAGAGGAAATAAAGAGATGATCGTTTGGACAGTCTTCTGTAGACTGGACCCTCCTAGATCTGTTGAATTACATATAGCACTTACCATCTGCCGATCACATGCTGACTGGGAGAAGATAGGAGTTGTAATATAACACAAAGAGCCCCAGATATTGATCCAAATATGAACGTGGAACTTAGAATAACTTTATTTTCACTTTGAATGTACTAATTGGCATATATTAAAATGAAATTTCATTGCATACAGCTCTCTAAGGGTCACCACCTCCAATATACACTATATAAACCTGATGAAATAAATACATACATACATAATTATGCATATACCCACATATATCATATGACACAGAGAAACAACACAGTTTAGTTTGGATATACACATGGACATGGCGAGAGAAACTAATCTTGGGAGTTTACCAGACTCCCAAGGGAGTCTTTGTTCCCATAGAGAACAAAGCTGTTACAGAATCTGGAAGTCCTGCTAGAAATACTTCAAAACCTCCTCCCAAAGGGGAGCAACAGAAACAGACCATAAAGTGGGTGTATGGGGTCTCTAACAATGCTTTGAGCTTTAAGCATATAGTGCTTCTAAGCAGTGTCCTGAATAACAGGAAACGAGCTTCCTATAATCTCCTTGGCTGTCCTTACCACTCTCTGTATGGACTTTCTACCTGAGGCACTGCTGCCACCAAACCAAACAGTGATGCAGTTTGTTAAAACGCTCTCAATTGTGCCTCTGTAAAAATGCACAATTAGAAATTGTACCTAGCTTTACCACCACCCATGTAATTACTAAATGTTATGTAAAAAGGGTGTTTTGTGACAACTATTAAGAGCACCAGATTGTTGTAATTCCTTTACACAGAGGAGAAGCTATATAGTGGGGGTGGCATTTTTAAAGAGCCTGTCCTGCTGATCAAAATGATCTGCAGGAAAGGTGGCCCTACAGATAGGTAGGCACTAATCCCTAATCCCAGCCCTTTAAATTCTGTTCAGTAGGCAGGACTTTCAGTAAGGGCATCATGTAACCCATGTATCTTGCATCGGTTAGCAATTAGGGCACCACATTTTCAATCAATGACAATTTCCAGCCACTTTTCAAAGGTTCGCCAAAGTTAAAGAATTATAAAATTTCACTTCTGAATCATACATGAATTGTATACAGTGTTGCTCATTTAGACAATAGGGTTTGTTAATGGCATAGCATAGATGAATTTGACACTTTTTCTTTGTTCATTTGTTTGGACCATTGTTATTATCTTACTAATATTTTAAACAAAAGGCAAATACATCCACAGTTCTTTGAGTGCTTGGAATGAAAGGTTTTATATATTTATTACTTTGGTATAATTTCAGACTCCTCCCTTTGAAGTTTGTGCGGATCTCCATCTACAATCCCAAGAAGCAACTCATCAAAATCCAGCTGATCAATGGACGCTGTTATTACCTACAGTTTCAGGCATCTACTAAGGAAGAGGAAGCTCTGTTTGAACGCTGGTTATCACTAGTCTATCTTCTTCACCATCCTCCACCTTGCTACCTGACACCTCAACCCACCTCCTGCACAGTGACTGACAGCCTAAGCATTCAAATCATCCCAAGTGAGGAGGAAATTGTAAGAACAAACATGGACTTACACAATTTGGCCCCTTGGTCATAAGACAAAGAAAATGTGGGGTCTTTGGTGCTCTCTTAACTTGGTTGTTTTCTTGCAGACATTTCATTACCAAACCAGTGCTAGTCTGAAGACGTTACCTAGTTTGGTAATGAAACATCTGCAAAAAAAAAAAAAAAAAAAAACCACAGCCAAACTCAGAGAGCATCAAGGACCCCACAGTTCAAACCCTGAGCTAAACATTTTCTCTTTTATTGGCAATGGAAATATGGTGGGATAATGTCTTAAAACAGGGTCAAGAATTAAACAAAAGCCTGAATTTAGTTCACAATATTTCCAGCAGAGGAATCTTAAAAAAAATCTTTCTATCTGTCTGAATTATTGGAAAGCAACTCAACAAAATTTATTTAAAATTCATTTAATTTTAAAAAATAGACTACTACATTAAAAGTTACTCCATTTAAAAATACTCAAATATTTTAAATTGCATCGGGGTGTCAAACTGGATTTCTTCGAGGGCTGGATCAGAATTGTAATTCTCCTTCACGGGCCAGCAGGGGGAGGGGGAACAAGAGATCGGATGGATGCCTCCTGCAGCACCCTGCCAGCCAAAACAGAGTGCGGGGGGTCCTCTTGTGGCCCCACTGCACCTCGTTTTCACCCTCCATGGCCTCCTGCAGCACTCTGCCACCTGTTTTTGGGGCGTTTTCCGGCTGTTTTCAGGGCTGGTTTTGGCTCATTTTGGGGGCCATTTTCAAGCTGTTTTTGCACCATTTTTGGGCTGTTTTCAGGGCCATTTTGGCTTGTTTTTCAGGCCATTTTCAAGCTGTTTTTCAGGCCAGTTTCGGGCTGGTTTTCAGCCCATTTTTGGCTCATTTTTGGGGCCATTTTCAGCCAGCAGAGTGCTGCAGGAGACAGTTGAGGGTGAAAATGAGGCGCGGGGGGGGGGCACACGCAGCCCGTTTTAGCCACCAGAGGCACTGCAGGCCAGTCCTTTCATATTTCCAGGCCAGCCCCACAGGCCAGATTTAAGTACCTGATGGGCTGGATCCAGCCTGCGGGCCTTGAGTTTGACACCCCTGAATTACATTTAGAAGTGAGAAAATTAGGAATTAAAAAATGGATCAATAAAACCATTAAAATAATTAAGAAAGCTGACTTAAAAATGTTCCAACATCTTTTTAAAAATTAAAGCCATTTAATCATAGCTCCAATGAGGTTGCAATGTTACAATATTGTGTGGGCGTGGGCTAGAAGAAAGCCCTTTCTGTAGAAAGAATAATGTCCAGTTGATCATCTGTCACTCTTTTCTTCTATCAATCCAGACAGGGCACAGTTGAGCCAAGGAAAGGTTTCAACATTCTGATTGGTAATATTTATTAGAAGAAGTTGAAAGTTACAGCAGAAGAATTCTAACAATTATTTACTTTCAAATGAGACATCCATATATAGATAATATATGGTAGCAAAGCCGTCTTCCGTTTTCTTGTGCTAGTACAGCAGGAGGTAGAGTTGCCATCAAGGTAGAGTCAACTTCTGGCAATCACATAAATAGATTTTCTCCTAAAGAATATGTTTCTATCTGCAACCTGGTTTTTCAGATCTACAACAGTATACCCATCATTGTTGTAAATGAATCCACTACTTTGCTGGTCATTATCTTCTTCTCTTTCTTTCCACCTTTCCCAGCATCATAGACTTCTTCAGAGAACTACATCACATCTTCACATAATGTCTCTGAAGTTCATAATATTTGAACATTTGTGCCTCAAATGACCAAATTGAAATATTTCTCTGGGCTGGTTTGTTCAATGATCAGTTTATTTGTATGGCATTCCCAGGAGTCTTTTCCCACACTAAAGTTCATAACCATCAATATTTTCTGGATGTTTCTTAACTACTCTACCAAATGCTATTCTGATGTGTATTTCTTGATTTCTTACTGATTCCTTTACTATTTACGTAAATGGCCAAAAGTATTGACCACTTCAATATCTTCAAGATCAATTGTATTAGACTGATCTTTTTCTTTTTCACACTTTTCCACTGTACATTTTGATTTCCATTATAAATCTTGCAGATGATTTGAATTGATAAGAACAGAGTCATTAGCTCAGTGAGGGTGGTTGATTATTTTCCCCCGCAGTTTTAAAACCATGCTTCTTCCAATCCAGCTCCCCTCAATATATACTCTGCATAGAAGTTGAATAAATAAATGCATATAAATTGATAAGTTGAATAAGTGGAGAATACATTGTCTCACTCCTTTGCCAGGCTGGAGTCAATCTGTTTCACCATTATTGATCCATGCTTGGATTCATGACCTATGTGTAGAATTCACATGAGGAGAAAGAGAGGTTGTGGGATTCCTATTTTTCTAAGCACATTCCATAGCTTGCCATGGCTAACACAATCAAAGACCTTTCTACAATCGATGAAGCATATGCTGACTTTGCTTTGCATTTTTTTTGCACTTCTTTGCACTTTTGTAATACTGGGTGATTTCTCCATTGCTCAGCATGCATCAGCTATAATATTTTCCTTGGTCTTTTCTAAAACTAACGTGAACATCTGACATCTCCTTTTCCATATAGGGCTCTAATCTGCATTGGATAATCCTAGACATTTTTTCCCCTTAGCACATGAAATCAAGGATATTGTACAACAGTTTGCTCACTGTTAAATCTCCTTTCTTCTCTGTTGATATACATACTGATTCTCCAAATTTATTGGCCACAATGTCTTCAGCATTTTATTACTGCAAGTAAAATATCAGAAAAAAATCAGGAACTTTTGATAAAATATTATTTCTGTTTAGCAGCAGCACGTGCAAAGCTTGCTAATTTCCATAGCATTGTCTTCTTGTCTAAATTCATTAGACATTCAATTTTATTAAATAATGGTAACATGATTTTCAGATAAGGAGAGGCTCCAGACATTTTCCATTTGCTTAAGTGAAAACAGGGCAGTACAATAAATAATAGGTAAATTTTTTGTAGCGAGGCTACAAGGGAATATTGTATGGGATATTGAGAAATTGGCCTTCTCTACTTGTTGATGCCAGTTGCTGGAACCACAGTCTTCTAATTGCCCCTGGGATGGCTGGCACTATAACACACCTCAGATAATATTCACATTCAATTATGATTTTATTAAGTGTGTGAAATTCATTACTAGATTCCTCCAGGAAAATTCCAGCTAGGATGCTTTTGTTAAAACTTACTAGGGTAGGCAAGTTAGCAAATCTCTAGCAGTGTAGATCACTCGAGTTTTTTCCAGTAGATGTAACTATCTTTTTATTTCTTATTTACTTCCTCAATTTCCAGGAAGGGCTCCAGAAAGAATGCCAAAAAGGATTGCAAGAAGGATTCCCAAAGGGATTTGAAGAAAGGTTCCCAGAAGAATTGCAAGAAGGATTCCCAAAGGGATTTGAAGAAAGGTTCCCAGAAGAATTGCAAGAAGGGTTCCCAGAAGGATTGCAAAAAGGATTCCCAAAGGTATTGCAAGAAGAATTGCAAGAAGGCTTCCCAGAAGGATTGCAAAAAGGATTCCCAAAGGTATTGCAAGAAGAATTCCCAAAAATATTCCAAGAAGGATTCCAGGAAGGATTCCAAGAAGGAGTCTCAAAAGGATTCCAAGAAGAAGTCTCAAAAGGATTCCAAAAAGGATTCCAGGAAGAATTCCACAAAGATTCTGCACTTTCAAAGGTGCAAGAGCAAAAACAGAAGGAACCAGAGCAAAAATCAGTAGTGCACTTGTCAGGGACCACAAAAATATCTCATCAGAGCTTGGCTTTCCCTGATGAAGAATATACTGAGGATGAGCGGCAAAGACTTCAGGATAAACCTAAAATGACCTATACTGAAAGGAAGAATTTTCTGAAATCAGAGAGCTTTGAGATCTATAAAGCTGAAACTCCAAACCCTTCCAGGTAAGCCTGGAGAAGAAAGGAAGCATCGGTAGCCATTTGGTAAATTGGTCATATGGATTATCCTGCCAGACCCTGTAGTGAAGATCTTACTATTCTTAGTATTTTGATAGTCCAGGAAGGAGAAAAAGTCAAAATTCTCTGTCTGGATATTAGAACAACATAGGCAACCAGATTTCTCCATATAAAAATATTCATCTTACTGCCAAATGATAGGGAGAAATTTATTATTCCATAGCTGCATTACTGAAGTAATTCTGGTTAATTTTTAGTTTTGCATGATACATGAACTGAATATTAACTAAATGAGTCAGGTTTCTACAATATGCTAAGCCTAGTTTGATAATAACTAGGATTTGCAAATGTTTTTAGTAGGTTTAATCTTTGTTTGATCTGATTAGGTTTGTTATGTGAACACAATCATTAGGCCTAGATGAGAGGTACCAAAGATTATCTCTACCTGCTTTAGCATACTGGCTGTAAATCCATACTGGTTACTCATCCATTAAAAATCCACTCAAAACTTCACTATCAGTTGAATTTCAGAGCTCTTCAGGTAGATGAGGAGCTGATACATTCATATTTCACAACTATCCCACAAATACTGTTTAACTTGTGGAAAAAATGTTGGATTTTAAACAATGATTTTAAAGGTTCTCAGTTCAATTGCTAGCTAGGCTTTGATCTATGCAGATGGTTTTAGGAAAGCCACTTAGCCTCAGCATGGGAAGAGTGAGAATAATCTACCTTACAGGGTTGTTGAAAGGATAACAAGATAATATGTCTCAAACACTGGTTACTCAGGGGTGCTATATAAATTATTGCTCTGTACACCAAACATATCCTCTGGATTTTGGTCCTGGTGTAGAAGCACCATAGTAGCATGCAAAAGAGGAAGCAATAGCCTTTTTAAAGGAGAGGAAATCACTGAACAGACTCTTGAGGTATGAACATGTTCAATGACTAAGCATGCAGGGTGTCTGTTCGGAGTTGGGAATAAACTCACAGAAGATGTTCTATCTGAACGGGATTGTTTCATCCTACAAACTTTGAAGTGTGGAGTCCTTGGTATTCTCTAAGATTCTTTATTTGCATGCAGACATTTCATTACTTGAGTGGGTAACATTATCAGTGCAGTATAGTATTTAGTATTTATTAAATTTTTATTACGCCCTTCTCCCGAAGGACTCAGGGTGGTGAACAGCCAGGATTAAAATACATACAATATGAAAATTAAAATAATTTTAAAATAATTAAATCACTTTGGCTTCCCAATTTTAAAACCCCATTACCCATAAAATTAATCAATTAAAATTTTAAACCAGCCCGGCTTGCTGAAACAAGAAAGTCTTCAGAGCCCAGCGGAAAGTACGAAGGTCCAGGATCAGTCGTATCCCTGGGGGTAGCTCGTTCCAGAGGATGGGTGCCCCCACAGAGAAGGCTCTCCCCCTGGGGGTCACCAGTCAACATTGCTTGACCTATGGCACTCTGAGGAGACCCTTTCTGTGGGAGCGTATTGGCCGATGGGAGGTTATCAGTGGCAGAAGGTGGTCTCATAGATACCCAGGCCCTAAGCCATGGAGCGCTTTAAAGATGAGAACCAAAACCTTGAAGCACACCTAGAAGACCACCAGAAGCCAGTGCAGCTCGCGCAGGAGAGGTGTTACATGCGAGCGCCATGTTGCCCCCATTATCACCTGCGCGGCTGCATTCTGGACCAGTTGGAGCCTCCGGGTGCTCCTCAAGGGGAGCCCCATGTAGAGAGCATTACAGTAGTCCAGGCGGGAAGTAACAAGGGTATGAGTGACCGTGCGTAAGGAGTCCCGATCCAGAAAGGGACGCAACTGGCATACCAGGCAAACCTGATAGAAAGCCCCCCTGGCCACGGCCATCATATGCTCTTCTAAAGACAGCCGTGCATCCAGGAGGACGCCCAAGTTACGAGCCCTCTCCGTGGGGGCCAATGACTCGCCCTCAATAGCCAGTGATGGCATCAGCTGGCTATATCGGGACGCCAGCAACCCAGCCACTCGGTCTTGGAGGGGTTGAGTCGGAGCCTGTTCCTCCCCATCCAGACCCGCATGGCCTCCAGGCACCGGGACATCACTTCAAGGGCATCATTGGGTGGTCTGGGGTGGAGATGTACAGCTGAGTGTCATCAGCGTACAGATGGCACTGCACCCCAAAACCACGGATGATCTCACCCAGCGGCTTCACATAAATGTTGAACAGGAGAGGCGAGAGGACCGACCCTTGCGGCACCCCACAAACAAGGTGCCTTGAGGTCGACCTCTGCCCCCCTGCCAACACGGACTGCGACCGGTCGGAGAGATAGGAGGAGAACCACCGTAACAGCGTGCCTCCCACTCCCAACCCCTCCAGCCGGCGCAGCATGATACCATGGTCGATGGTATCAAAAGCCACTGAGAGGTCTAATAGAACAGAACAGAGGAGCAACCCCTGTTCTGCACCCTCCAGAGATCATCAACCAATGCGACCAATGCGACCAGTATAAGATCAGAGAGCACCAAGGACTCCATAGTTCAACCCTGAGCTACATATATTCTCTTCTATTGAAACGTTGACGTTCCCATATTTGTCTTTTCTTGCTGCATGTATCCACTCCAAAAAGTGTGTGAGAATCTGAGGGTGATGAAATGGGAAGAAAGTAATGACTACTTAGAAATATTGGTTCCATGCTGATCTCATTTGAGTCGCTATGTAAAAATGGGTATGCATGGGAATCTGAGTACTATAGTTCAGCTTGGTAGACTTGTCCAAGGTACTGAAAAACTGTTGATTACACTATGTTGGACCTCTGGAGACTGTATGGGCCATCAACTTGATCTGTCCAAGCAATAATCTGTAACTCTGCCAAGTGACCTCCCTGATCCTGTCCATCTATTTATTTGTTAACATGCCTTTCTTTTATTTCCCTCAGTGTTGTCAGGCATAGTATTTTTTTCTAGACCAAAACAAAGCACATTCATTGCAATTTATTAAGCAAAACTTCATGGGAAGTAGATTTTATTTATTACAATACCAAAAAGCTGTATCTAAGCTATAATTGCTTTGAACCCTGCAGGTGGGTCACCTATAATTCATTTGGACACATTTGCAACAACAACAACAAAAAAAAACCCCACCTTGGTAAATAAAATTGACAAGATAGACTTACAGTAGTAACAGTAGATACCAGCAGTCTCTTCTCACATGTATTAAATCAATTTAAGATTGTTTGGTTGCTGTAACAAAAGGGAGAAAATGCCATTTCCCATCCAATGCAAGTTGGATTTTTTCTTGTCCTGGCTGATGTTGACAACTTGCATATATGGCTGATAAGGACACAGTTACTTTAAAGAGGCAGGATTGGAGGTTTTTTTTTTGTTTGTTTTTTTGTAGAGTAGGAAAGAAGGAAGCAATATCATTTTAGCTTTCTTTGTGGTAAAGGGAATGTAATTTTACATAAATGTTAAAAATCCCTGTTTTTTTAAATATGAGAGACTGGACTTCTTAAAGATAAAATTTGTTGACTTGATGTGCTTCACTCTGGCTGGGAAGCATGGCAACTGTAATTCCAGTAAATCTGGAGGGGATCAGATTGAGGAACACTGTACTAAGGAAATATTAAACTAAGCTCTACTAAGAAGAGAAGGATTATTAAGCAAAAGTATTATGATTGCCCTGTAGAATATTTAAAAAAACATAAACCAACATGGTACTAAAACAGCAATCAATAAAGAGACTGCAGTTTAACATGAATGCCTTATATGAGATTAAATTACATACTTGAATTTTAGTGCAATTAAATTTGAGCCTGTTATTTTAGTGTGGTATAAAAAAGTCCTAACAAATTCATAAAGGCCGTTCACATCGCCTCTTACGTTCAGTACAATAGCCATAGTCTCATCCATTTGGTGAAAACATCTATTAGCAAGCTTCTGTTCTTTGCATTTAAAAAGCAATACTGGGAGAAAGAAGATTTTTTTCCATTGAAATACTTGCAATACCTGGATTTCAAAATGACATAAGAATGTAGCATTTGTATAGCACTTCACAAACATTATCTTGTTGGAAAACTTACAATAAACCTGTAAGGTTATCTAAGCTATGTTTTTAACTGCCCATTGCAGATGGGGACTCTTAAGTGGGAGTGGCTTGCTATAAGGAAAACATGGGATAAATTGGAACAGATAGTCCTCAACTTACGACTTAATCATTTGAAGTTACAATAAACCCCCAAAAATGGTACTTACAAATCAGATTAGAAGTTCTTGTGATTCTCCCCACCTATCCCCGGTCAAGAGACTGCATTTTGGGCACGAAGCAAGTGTCCTGCATTTACAGATATTTACAGCATCCTATGGACCACGATTTATGACATTTTTGGCAGAAACTGACAATTACTTTGGCAACTGGTTTCTGGCAAAAAAAACACCCATTACAGAAAACAGGTTCGCTTAACAACCATGACATTTGCTCAGTGGTGAAATGTAAAATTTGTTACTACTGATTCTGTGGGCGTGGCTTGTTGGGGGCGGGTAATGTGACTGGGTGGGCATGGCCAACTTTTTTTTTTTTTTTTTACTTTTAAAAGCATTTTTTCTACAATTTCTTCGGCTGAAGAGGTTGCAGAAAAAAATGTTTTTAAAAGCCTCTGATGATCAGGCAACTCAGCTGGGATGAGACAATCCCAGCTGAGCCGCGCAATCATCAGAGGCTCTTTTTTTTACTTTTAAAAGCATTTTTTCGGCCAAAGAGGTTGTAGAAAAAATGCTTTTAAAAGTTAAAAAAACAGCCTCTGATGATCGCATGGCTCAGCTGGGCATGGGGGGGGGAGCGCAGGGATTTTTGCTACCGGTTCTCCGAACCATCCGCTGCCATCTCTACCGGATCGAGCAATCCAGTCCGAACCGGGAGCATTTCATCCCTGCATTTGCTTAATTACTGCTCCCAAAAAAGTCCTTAGAATCGAGCACAGTCACATGATGATTCTTTTAACAACTGGCATAATTTACAACCATAATTCCAGGCTCAATTAGAGTCATAAGTAATCAAGAAGAGCACAGTAATCCAAAATGTATGCAGTGGGGATTGACAGTAACATAGTTATTTTTAGTTACCTTAACCCTAAAAATTACTTTCATTGGGGACTGTTCCATGTTTCCCAACGACTGAGTTTCCCAACGACTCAGAAACTCAGAAGGAAAGTGCTACTCACTGCACAAAAGGTTCAGACAAGTTCCACCCTCAACTCAGACAAGCAAAGTAGCCTGTGTGTAAAGGTCTCAGCGCAAGACCTGCTACTTTTCACATTTTGACTTGTGTAAATTTTAATGTTTAGTCCCTCTCTCTGAGCCCTAAGAAGTTGGCATCAGCAAGATGGTGGGCACAGTATTATGATCAAAGCCTCACCCCTCTTGTACAAGCTGCAACATCATCACATGTACAAAAGAGGCAGGATTTAACTTGTGACACTGTCTGCCAACTTAGGGGTAAATGGGTAAAGTTTCTGGTTGACAGGAAAACAAGTTCTAGTTAAAAGAATCTCTGGAGATTAATTATGGGATTGCCCCTACACTTCTGGACTACTGCAATTGCAGCTCAAAATAAAAATGATAGATTAGGCAGATATACTGTATATTATCTAAACTCACATAAGGCAACTTTTATGTTCAACTTTCCTGGATCTTTCTGACTGGCTCAGGAATTCTGGGAGTTGAAGTTCACAGGTTGTAAAGTTACCACAGTTGTTCATCCTGTTTTAGAAGACAGTGAGGGGTAAAAAAAAATTGACTCCTCCCTATAAGGTTGCCCCTATTTTTGCAGCCTAGATATGAGTCTTATCCTTGGTTCAGATGAGAGTGTCTAGCCCAAAGGTCTTCAAACTTGGCAGGTTTAAGACTTGTGGACTTCAACTCCCAGAAGCTATGCTGGCTGGAGAATTCTGGGAGTTGAAGTCCACAAGTCTTAAAGCTGCCAAGTTTGGGGACCCCTGGTCTAGCACATGTGGTCAAAAGTTGAAGATGGTGACTTTGCTTGTTTTATATTTATGTTGCATGTAAGCACTGCAAATACACTAAATTCAGATCTTACTTATGTTGAGGAAGTCACTAACCTTAGGCAAGCCATTTTTCCTCTTATGTACATCCCCGCAATATACCTTACAAGGGATAATAATTTTGACTTACAGGATTGTTGTAAGGGTTATAACTAGATAATGCATATGAAACACTAAGCAAATGGTAAGTGATAACCATGAATTTGGTTGTGATTGTTTTTAGGAAATTCACCACAAGCAGTTTTGTAACAGACAGTTTTTCCACAACTTCAAGTTCATCTTCACAGCCACCATTACCACGAAAATTCCCAGGTTTGTAGAAGAACCTTCTCCATTTTCACTTGTTCAGTTTCTATGCCCAGAAATGATACAAATTCCTCAGATGCTCTACTGGATAAAATTCATTTAGCTTAGCATCTTCTCTACTTACACTCACCAAGCAAAAATTTGAGGGGCGGGGGAATATACAAATAAAATACAACAACAATGTCTATCAACAAAGATATTAGAGTTCCCACCATTTGGCTCTGTTTGCCTAATAATATTAATGCATTATCCATTTAAAAATAATATGATTCGGACACATATAGCTTGATGGTAGTATGTCATGCACATTTCCACACATGCACCCTTATATGGTATTGATATGTGCCTTTATTTTTTTAAAAAAAATACTTTGCCTCTATTCTAATCACCACAATTTAAGTACAGGGTTTTAATGAATAAACCGATGTATCCAGAAAGGCTGTAGATGTGACCTGAACATGAAGCCAAACATGAATGCAAACATTCTCAAATTATTTAAAGAAAATATTTTCAATTGGAAAACTAAAGAAAAAAGAAAAGGCATTTCTTTTCTGAAAACAGTTGTGTTTTGTTCTGACTGTTAAACAGTCAGAACAAAACATGACCAAAACAACCTTTAGAATCATAACGAAAGATAACAGGAATGTCATCCCTTTCATTGATCCTTGAAAATGGATTATCACCAGCAGCTTCCTCAATTTGTTATGTCTTAGAGTGGGACTGGGAATTATAGTGTAACACATCTGGAAATTGCCAGGTTGGAAAACGCTAGATGTATGTTTCCAGCTTTGATCACAATGGGACATCTAGAAGAAAAGAGATAGGGATGATGCCACAGACAGAGGGCTTATGATGGTATTAAAGAGTGAAAATTGACTGTTCCTTTCACACAACGTATACTTTTTGTATGTATCTCTTCAGTCACTTGCTTCCTAGGGTGAGTGCCAACAAGATAAGTGAAAAGAAGAAAAATAAGAAATAAAAATAGATCAACAATTAAACAAATAAAAAAATAGCTAAAAATAAAAACAATTGCATAGCATATCATTAAAGAGTATAAAATGCCCTCATAACTGAAAACGCTCTTTGCCAGGAGCTCAGAAGAGATCCCACCTGCCAGTGTTGACTCATAAGCAAGCTGAAGACACTGGGCACATCTTCTGGAATGAAGGACCTCCTCCATGGTGTGCTTCAAAAGTCATTGCCAAAAGAGTACCCAAATGAGTTCCATCAGCTTTTAGTCTCCTTTGGCAAATTGGCACTAAATTCTGGTTTCTGAGTTCAGATATGGCCTCATATTTAATACATGGCAGATTGGGCTCACACACTGCATTAAACCATGGTTTATTTAACCATGGTTGCAGATTAAGCCACACTTGAATGGCAAATATTTCTACTCATAAATCATAAATAAATAGGCCAGCAAGTAAACATGCCAAATTGTAAACCTGTAATTTAAAATGCAAAACTTAATAATCCGCCACATGGATTGTTCAATACAATACAATCAGAATTAAAGTCATGTTATGTAGCAACTGTTTGCAGGAAATAGTAAATTTTTATGGGGAGAAATTTTTATTTGGGTCTAAAAACAGGGTTTTTTAAAAATTAGAACTTAAGAGATGAACCCTTTTTTCCTCCTTACTGGTTAGATAGGTAAAAAAGCATCTCTTAGCATCTCTCTCCAGCATGTCAGGAAGGTCACTACAGGCAGAGAAAATTAAAAAAAAAAAAAAGGCAAATGGATTGAGACAGCAGGATCCCTACACTGGCTGTTGGTCTCTGGAAATCTGCTGCAAAGCAGGATTTTACTGCACAGAATTCCCTTCTTTCTCCTTAGCAACAGTCTGATAACTGTCCCTTTCGTCTAATCTCATTTAAACAAATACTGAGTTCTTCCTTCTCAAAAGCTTTCTGCTTCTTTCACTTTATTTCTCCGGTGACGGTGTTAGAGGAAAAGCCAACACTGATTCCTATTCCACTTCCTCCTGTTGTTACTAGATGTGCACACATTTAATTTACTAAATTAAAGGGCTTAGATCCTCTGTCTGTCTACCTACTATCCAGTGGTGGGTTGCTACTGGTTCTCCCCAGTTCGGGAGAGCTGGTAGCAGAAATGTTGATATGAGAGCAAACTGGTTTGCTCCGACCGTCAGCTGGGTCCTCCCGCCCGCCCCTGCGCTGTACCTACCTTTATTCCTTCATTTTTGGCCCACCTGAAAGGCACGGCAGAGGGGATTGCCATGCTTCAACTGTTATGGAATTCAATGCGCTGATTGCGCGCAAAGCACGTGTGTGAAGCGAACCGGTGGTAACACTGGTTAGAACCCACAACTGCTACTAACAATCATGTATGTAAGGCCTCACAACCCCATAACAGTTTAATATAGTATTAAACACAAATTAACAGCAATAATAGAATCAAAATAGTAAATAGCCAGAGAAAATAAATCTAACGTCACCTCAACTGCATCATTTTTCCAAAGGAGTTCCTCACCCAACTTAACTCAAGGACTGACAAAAGAGCTTTGAACAAGCCCAGGATAGAGGCAGTACAAATCTCTGGAGTGGAGGCTGTACAAGAAGGCCAGTGCTGCCACTGAAAAGGCCTATTTCCTGAGTCCAACCAAATGGGAATGTTTAACCAATGGGTTCCAAAGGATATCGACTTGGTTGGATTGACAGGAGAAATAGACACTATAAATCCGTGATGGTGAACCTATGGCACATGTGCCAGAGGTGGCACGTAGCGCCCTCTCTGTGGGCACGTGAGCCATCGCCTCAGTTCAGCTCCACAGTGCATGCGCACATGCCTCCTGCTGGCCAACTGGCCTTCAGGTCTCTGCTGTGCATGTGTGCGGGGGGTGGGTCGCATGCAGGGGGCCGCGTACCCATGCGGGGAGGATTGGGGTGCATGTGGGGGACACACACACATGCAAGGAGGTGGGGAACATGCAGGGGGCACACGCATGCATGCAGGGGGGGCGCATATAGGGGACTGAGAATGTATGTGTGGGGGTGGGGCGCATGCACAGGGGCTGCATACATATTGCATTCAGGGGGTTCAGGTGCATTCTTGCACTCTGGGCCTTCGGTCTGGAAAAAGTTAGCCATCACTGCTATAGGTAGACAGTTGGTCCCTCAGATAGACAGGCCCTCTGCCATAAACAGATTTACCTTGAGTTAATGCCTTTGGTTGTGATATTAGGTAGACTACAAGATGTGCATGGAGGGGCGATTTGTTCCTCTTATCTATCAGGCAGCAGGAATTTAATATTAAACCCCCCAAATACACACACATATTTCCCGTATCCTCTTTAAAATGAGCATTGAGGGAAAGGGGTTAGTTCTCTTAGCCATTAAAGCATTCCAAGGTTAAAACAACGTCAAGCATGCCAAAGTTAGAACAATAAATTATCATCTTTTTCTGCCTTGGGCAATGGGTTGGACTAGAAGACCTCCAAGGTCCCTTCCAGCCCTATGATTCTTTGGTTATGACTCCAAGGGCTTTTCTCCACTTGCACTTGACCATGCACAGCCATGTCCTGGCCATTTCTTTTCTTATATGCCATTACAATATTGTCCATCTCATCCTCAACCTATATCTAAGGCAGCTTTAGGTCATAGCTGTTCTGGTTTTAAAGTACTATTTTTCCCCTTAAGCAGACAGTATTTTCTGATAGGTTTCACTAACCTCTCGGCCACCGTCATAGAGAAGTAATCAATTACCCACTTTGGGAACATGTAAAGTAGGCCTGCCTCTTCCACTCCTGGGCCACTTTTCTTGGGGTAATGGAAGAGTTCAGACATTACAAATTATTCCTGCCATGTTTTAGCCAATCCTCACATCAGAAAGCTGGACTGGCCTAAATCCTAGCTGACTGTGCCATGATGTACAAATGCAGTTGGTCCCTCAGGTTAACAAATGTCTTTGTTTAATATGCCTTGTGCATCTCAAATCAGAATAGCACCATTTGGAGGTAGAAAAGAAATAGCAACAGGACAGCAAAGTTTATACAAGTTTGGGGGGGGGGTTGGCTCAAGGATTTGTATACAGGTAGTCTTTGACTTACAAAAACAATTGGGATCAGAATTTCTCTTGCTAAGCAACATGGCTATTAAGTGAATCCAGCCCAATTTTATAACCTTTTTTGCCAGAGTTGTTAAATGAATCATGCTGCCAGTATGCAGATCCAGCTTCTACCATTGACTTTGCTTGTGGAAAGCCAGATGGGAAGCAAGCATTGATTTACCAGTTGCCAAGCAACTGAATTTTGATCACAGGACTATGAGGATGCCGTGATGGTCATAAGTACAAGGACCAGTCCTAAGTCACTTTAGTCAGTGTCATTGTAACTTTGAACAGTTGCTAAATGAATAATTGTAAGTCAATGACTGTATATCTGTATAGCAGCAGAGTTAGTGTATATACATATCTTAGCTGCCATTTGGGATTGATTCAAATTTTTGCAGCTCAAACCTAATCAGTTCAATTTGCCTTGTAAACTAATTTTTAGAAGTTGGGTTCTTCCACAAAAAGCTCCTATAAACAGCTACTCTACTGTGTTTTTTTTAGCACCAAGCAAGTGATTGTAATACTTGTAAGAGTCACTTGGTATTACTTGCTACTGTAAAGAGCCCCAATGGTTCACACTGTATGTGTTTGTGTTCTTGTGTTTCCTAGTACCCAAAAAAGAGGGAAGCAGCAGTCTTAATATAGTCACACTTTTTTCTGTTGTCTCCAAAACAATTGATGGGGAAAAAAATCCAAAGAACAAAAACTAAAGACCGTTGAAAGAAACTCAATCTCTGCAGAGGAAGCAAAGGAGAACATGAGCACTCGTAAGTCAAGTAAAACTTTAGCTGATACTGGTTAACAGACACATGCAGGGTGCCCTTAATGCACATACTTTCTGAATTCTGTTGGGATAAACTGTGAGCATCTACTCAACCTCATTAGCACGGTTCAAGACCTCACTTTGCTTTTGGCCCCTTTGGGTCTACTTCTAAGCTGGAAGAGCTAAGTTAATATTTCCCAGTGTGTTGAATTCCTGCGTTCTGTTTTAGCCTTCCACCTAATTGGTTTCTTCTTTCTTACACTGATACATCCATTTACTCTGTGATTTTTAATGACTTGGCGCCTCTTGTAACAAATGGTTCTAGCATTTCTTTCCCATTATAAGTCTCTGTAGCCACAAAGAGCTTCTCCAAAGGACCAAATCAGTGTCGGACGACCTGCAGGGATTATGATACTGTACAGTAGTTCCAATGGAACTCTGTTTAATTATGAGCAATTTTCTTTTATTCCAGCAATCCCCTAAAACAGGGGTGTCAATCACATGTGGTCGTATCCGGCCCGTGGGGCCATCCTGGAAAATGTAAGGGGCCGACCCACATAGCTTCGGCCCGGTTTATCCAATGCAAAGAGGAAACATCGGGCCAATGTGGCTTCAGGCTGGTCCACCCAATGCAAAGAGGAAACATGCCAGCAGTTTGTGGAGTGGCATCAAGCTGGCCATGCCCACCCAGTCAGCCACACCCAGCCAGCTCCCCAAGGCCAACCACAGCCCTGATGCGGACCTCAATGAAATTGACACCTCTGCCCTAAGACATTCAATACCCCAAGGGGTATTATCTAGCTCAGTGTTTCTCAGTCTTGGCAATCATGTTAAGATGTATGGAGTTCAACTTCCAAAAATTAAATTTTGGGAATTTAAGTGCACACAACATAATGTTGCCAAGGTTGAAAAATCTTTGCTGCTGATACAGTCTGTTGTAAGAAACAATTGTTGGATTGCTTGCACATTTCATAGTTCAGCCAAATTCTCACACATTTCCTGCTTCAAGAGGGAAGGAAAAACCTAAACTACATCTGACAGGATGCACAAGCAAACTCACAGCCCTGATACAATTGTGTTGCTGTGGAAAACGCAGGCTTATCTCCAATCTCTTATTCTCTTGAAAATACTGGGACTTAAGCACATAATGTAGACTTTTGCATCCATTGATTTCTTTTTTAATAGAGCTTGATGTGTATAACTGTAATTTATATTTGAACATTTATCCCATTTTTTACATGTACTGTAGATATAGCTATTTAATTTAGTAGGATTTTGGACATAAATTTGTATTGTGTCAATCCAGTTCTAAAAAGAAGTATGTCCAACAGGTTTGGGGTTCTAGCTAAACCCCCTTCACTAACTAACAAAACCTTTAAGATTGTTTTAACAACTATATTATTATATTAGAACTATTAAAGGTGCAGGGGAGTTGAATAAACACTTCTACTTTACTATAATTCCAGAGGTATAATAAGCTATATAGCTATATATTTTTCCATTTATCACGCAGTGACATCTGCAGGGGGTCTCAAAGAGTCAAGATGGCAGGTGCAACCACACAATGAAACTCTGCCATTTTTCATGTTGGTGAGATGCATGCAGTGTACACATAAAAAGTCTAAAGAGACACATTCACAACTAGTCTTGATTTTTAGAGATACACATGCCTTCTACAGATTCACCTGTCTCTGTATAAAGCAACCAGGACCAAACTTTTTATATCATCCAATTAAAGCCTCCCAGGTCGATGGGAGGCTACCGACGGCCTCCCATCAACCCGTGCGCTCCCACAGAGAAGGCCTCCTCGGGGTGCCATCAGCCAAACAATGTAGTCTGGTGACCCCCAGGGGGAGGGCCTTCTCTGTGGGGGCACCTACCCTCTGGAATCAGCTGCCCCCAGAGATAAGGAGAATCCAAGACCTTGGTGCCTTCCGCCGTGCCCTTAAAAACTTCTTTTTCCAGCAAGCCAGGCTGGCCTAACACTTTTTAAAATGTTTTTAATTGTTTGTTATTGGTTTTAATCATGGGGCCAAATTTATATATATCTTTTTAATTGTATTTTAATGTTTGTAGTTTATGTTTTTATTTGGCTGTTCACCGCCCTGAGTCCTCAGGGAGAAGGGCGGATATACAAATTTAAAAATAAATAAATAAATAAATAAATAAATAAATAAATAAATAAATAAATAAATAAATAAATAAAAAATAAATAAATAAAAGGATTTTTTTTTTTTACGGAATATTTTTAATGTCGGTTTTACATTCCAAGAATACTGTGCATCTCAGTTTAACTTTGCTGAATTCATAATATGAAAGCAATTGGAAAGTTCAATTTTATTTTAAATTTGAGGTGTTTTCTTGCACCACAAAATTGAAGGTGCTTTATTTTGGATTCATTAACTGAGCAGAGTTTTAGATTCTGCTGGTGGGTGACCACCTGGAAAAATAAATAATACCTTCTAACACTAAAATTCTAACAATTCCACAAACTGGACTTTTTTTTTATACGGATCATCGAGAAATTTGTTCAGCTTGTCCTCTTTATGTAATGCGCCCAATTAACATTGCCTATATCTTTGTGTAACTATATTTGTACATGTCGGAATTAGGCCCAGAAGAGACAGTCAACATCTGGAAGTGTGCCTTTCCATGTGATCAATGCATATAAATTGTTCCTTTTGGGGGGGAGGGGAAGCAAGCTCCTCAGTCAGCACCATCTACTTTCCCCAATGTTGCCACTTTAATGTTCTCTCTCACAGTGCAATTAAACTAGGTTTTATCTTTGAGTGGTCACTTACCTCTTTCATAACCTCCTTGTAATCAAGGTAATAGATAATTGAGCCATTGCTTAATTTGAAGGAAAGGAACCAGCTTGCATTTTGGACAACATTGAGCATAAAAGAGAAAACCTGACAGATCTAAGGTCTATTGCTTTAGCAAGATTAGTTAGTGGAGTAAGCAGGGAGGCATCAACTCATAGAATGGAGAAGTCTAACAATGATGTCCTGCCCCCCACCCAGTTCAGCATTTGGTCTCGGGAGGATTCTTTTTTAGGAAACATTTTATTATTTATTTATTTATTAAATTTCTATACCGCCCTTCTCCAATAGGACTCAGGGCGGTGCACAGCCAAGATAAAAACAAAGCATACAAAATTTAAGAACAGTATTAAAATAATTAAATATTTTGGCCGAAATTAAGATAACCCAATTTAAAATCAATTTAAAATTTAACTCAGGCCAGCCCAGCTTGTTGAAATAAATAGGTTTTCAGGGCCCGACGAAAAATCCGGAGGTCTGTTATTATACGTAACTCTGGGGGAAGGTTGTTCCAGAGGGTGGGCGCCGTCACAGAGAAGGCTCTCCCCTGGGGGTCGCCAGCCGACATTGTCTGGCGGACGGCACCCTGAGGAGGCCCACTCTGTGCGAGCGTACTGGCCGGTGGGAGGCTATTGGTGGCAGAAGGTGGTCTCGTAAATACCCCGGCCCTAAGCCATGGAGCGCTTTAAAGGTGGTCACCAACACCTTGAAGCGCACCCGGAAGACCACTGGGAGCCAGTGCAGCTCGCGCAGGAGAGGTGTCACATGGGAGCGCCTCGTTGCCCCCATAATCCCCCGCGCGGCCGCGTTCTGGACCAGCTGGAGCCTCCGGGTGCACCCCAGGGGGAGCCCCATGTAGAGAGTGTTGCAGTAGTCCAGGCGGGAAATGACTAGTGCCTGAGTGACTGTGCGTAGAGAGTCCCGATCTAGAAAGGGGCGCAGCTGGCGTATCAGGCGAACCTGATAAAAAGCCCCCCTGGCCACGGCCGTCAAATGATCTTCTAAAGACAGCCGTGCGTCCAGGAGGACGCCCAAGTTGCGAGCCCTCTCCGTGGGGGCGAGTGATTCGCCCCCAATAGCCAGCGATGGCGTCAGCTGGCTATATCGGGACACTGGAAGCCACAGCCACTCGGTCTTGGGGGGTTGAGTCGGAGCCTGTTTCTCCCAAATAAATAAATAAATAAATAAATAAATAAATAAATAAATAAATAAAAAAAAGGATTTTTTTTTTTACGGAATATTTTTAATGTCGGTTTTACATTCCAAGAACACTGTGCATCTCAGTTTAACTTTGCTGAATTCATAATATGAAAGCAATTGGAAAGTTCAATTTTATTTTAAATTTGAGGTGTTTTCTTGCACCACAAAATTGAAGGTGCTTTATTTTGGATTCATTAACTGAGCAGAGTTTTAGATTCTGCTGGTGGGTGACCACCTGGAAAAATAAATAATACCTTCTAACACTAAAATTCTAACAATTCCACAAACTGGACTTTTTTTTTATACGGATCATCGAGAAATTTGTTCAGCTTGTCCTCTTTATGTAATGCGCCCAATTAACATTGCCTATATCTTTGTGTAACTATATTTGTACATGTTGGAATTGGGCCCAGAAGAGACAGTTAACATCTGGAAGTGTGCCTTTCCATGTGATCAATGCATATAAATTGTTCCTTTTGGGGGGGGGAGGCAAGCTCCTCAGTCAGCACCATCTACTTTCTCCAATGTTGCCACTTTAATGATCTCTCCCACAGTGCAATTAAACTAGGTTTCATCTTTGAGTGGTCACTTACCTCTTTCATAACCTCCTTGTAATCAAGGTAATAGATAATTGAGCCATTGCTTAATTTGAAGGAGAGGAACCAGCTTGCATTTTGGACAACATTGAGCATAAAGAGAAAACCTGACAGATCTAAGGTCTATTGCTTTAGCAAGATTAGCTAGTGGAGTAAACAGGGAGGCATCAACTCATAGAATGGAGAAGTCTAACAATGATGTCCCGCCCCCCACCCAGTTCAGCATTTGGTCTCGGAAGGATTCTTTTTTAGGAAACATGTTTAGCCATTCATAAAAATTTCTAAAGATCCTACAATAATCCATATAATCTCCCCAAAGGACATTATGGTGAAAGTGTCTCAAATGGATAAGAAATTAAGCATTACAATTCATTATGCATTATTCACTTAACAACTGCAATTATTCTCTTAACAACCATGATAAAAATGGTCGTAAAACCAAGTGTGACTTTCTTAACATTTTCCTTGCTCAGCAATAGAAATTCTGGTCCTAATTGTAGTCATAAATCAAGGATTGTCACTCAAAAGTTTTGCTTAGATACGGTATGCCTGTCAAGAAAAGAATACAAAGGGAAACTGGGATAATAGTGTCCTAGAGATTTGTTGAGGATGATAGGACATTTTCCCTTCTTTTGAATGGATTTTTTTTTATCAATCTAGCCCAGTTTGATAACTACTTCTAATATGATCTCAAATTTCCAAATGTGTTTATTGACTCAAGTTAGTGATCTGTGACTTTACATACATGGTTTTAATGTATGAAAAGTAACACCATTAGTAGCCCACTTTTATATCTGATCTACTGGGTTCTTTTAAGGAGAGATATTACCACTGGATAATGAATATCCAAGCACTTAGACTTATATACCGCTTCACAGTGCTTTACAGCCCTCTCTAAGCAGTTTACAGAATCAGCATATTGCCCCCAGCAATGTGGGTCCTCATTTTACCAACTTTGAGAAGATGGAAGGCTGAATCAACCTTGAGCCGGTCAGGGTTGAACTGCTGCAGAGTCAGCCTCAGTGGTGGGATTCAACCAGTTCTCACCACTTCGGGAGAGCCGGTTGTTAACTTTCTGAGCAGTTTGGCAAACTGATTGTTGGAAGAAATCATTAGGGCAGAGAACCGGTTGTTAAATTACTTGACTCCCACCACTTGTCAGCCTGCAATACTGCATTCTAATCACCACATCATCATGACTCCTTGGATGTTAAGCCCTTCTTTAGGTTTGTTAAAGTTTGTAAAAAAAAAATTGGCTGATTGCAGAATACTGAGCAAGCTTCCAGGTTGTCAGAAACCTTTACCAAACTAATAATAAATGCAAAGGATGAAGAGAGAAGGGAAAAAAGGTAAATTTGCTGTTGAAATGCCAACATATTAATCTGGTCACAGGCTGCTTCTAGAAAAGACTTTAAAAAGATTGAGCAATCAATCCCAGCCTTTTTAAATAATTTGATTTGGTTCAGATAATACTGTCTTTCTTGTAATTTCTCCCATTATTTTCCCACCATTTCCTTCATTTTATTGACAGCAACAAAAAAGGATCCATTAAAGAGGGAAAGACAGAATAATTGCCTAATGACTTTTGACTGATGGATGCTTCAAATAGTTCTAATCTTAAAATGTAAATGAAGATTGCAGAGTTAATTGGATGATGCTGTCCTAGGTGCTATAAAAATTGTAGATGTCATTTAATCCAATAAAAGCAGAAATTTCATCCTTCATGCCACATGTTGTAGCCTCCTCTTTTCTTCCCTGTTTTTTTCTGCTTAATATCTAATCCAAGGGTGAGCAAACTATATCCCTGAGTCCTTTAACAACAGTAACAGAGTTGGAAGGGACCTTGGAGGTCATCTAGTCCAACCCACTCCTCTCACAGGAGACCTATACTAGGGACTGTCGACCTTTTTGATCAACAAGCTCAGTGTCTTAACAACTGAGCTACCTTCTTTGACATCTGCAAACTCCTCTGGCTTCTGTGGCTGAAAAATTGATGGCACAGTTCTTATCTGTTCTGAAAAACATTAAAAGTACAATCCAAGTTTGACAACAAACATAAGCATATTTTAAGCATTAAGAACTTGCTCCTGAAATCAAGAAAAATTAGCCCCATCCATTTTGCATCATTGTCCTCAGTCTCTCCAAAATGTTCATCCCTCAATGTAAAAGGTTCAGGCTCAAAGAGATTTTCAGAGAATGGGAAAAGCTGGCTTGCTAATTTATAATATATTATCTGATCCTAATGAAGTACAGGTTGTCCTCGACCTACAACAGTTTACTTAGTGACTGTTTGAAGTTACAACGGCACTGAAAAAGTGACTTGTGGTCATTTTTTATACTTACAAGCGCGCAACATCCCCATCAATGGTGGGTTCCTCCCGGTTCGGCCCGGTTCGGTTGAATTGGATCATGCGCAAAGCGCATGCACAAAGAGAACCGGTAGTAAAGCCGATTAGAACCCACCACTGATCCCCATCAGTCATGTGATCAAAATTCAGACACTTGGGAACTGACTCAATTTATGACCGTTGTAGTGATCACCTTTTGTGACCGTCTGACAAGGAAAGTCAATGGGAAAACCAGATGCACTTAACAGCCATGTCACTAATTTAACAACCGCAGTGATTTGCTTAACAACTATGGCAAGAAAGGTCATAAAATGGAGCAAAATTCACTGAACAAATGTCTTCACTTAACAACAAAAATGTTGGGCTCAGTTGTGATCGTAAATTGAGAACTACCTGTATCACAAAGTTATTGTGCAGCTTTTCTTCTAATGAACTAAGGTAGCTTCTTGCCTTTTTCCTTTATATATGGCCTTCCATAGTCAGATAATCTATGTAACACCAAATCTGAGTGCAGTATGTTCTGTCATCTGTCCAAAAATAGAAAAGGTCTTTAACATCTCTGCTTGAATCACGTTACGGAAAGGAGACGTGTGATTTGTTGTTAGCATTTCAGATTTACAAGAGTATTAACTGCCTCCTATTCAGTTCTTCTCTCCCATAAGCTTTCCAAAGAGCAATATACGTTATCGCATTTGCAGGAAAGAAAAAAGCACCACATACAACAGAAAGAAGTTCTATATTTGGTAGGAGGTTCAGTGGGCCGAAACAGGTTGATTATCCCAAACCAGAATTTTCCTGTGCCAACATTCATAAACCAGGCTCTAGGAAGCACTTAGCATGCCAGATGACAGATGAATCCTGTGTCAGATCACATTTTAAAATCAAAAGGGACTTCCATAAAAGTTAATGCCATGGAACAAGAGCAGAAACACACATACCGTACCGAGTTGACTCTTCATTTGGGGAAAATGTATGTATTTCACGAGGGATACAAAATGAGGCTGCAGCTGGCAAGCTGGATGTATCCTTGTGCTCTATAACAGTATTCATTATTATTTAACTGAGCAGAAGTCATTACAAACCCAGAAGGGCAGCCATGACATTTCATTGCAAAGCTCAAGAGGATCAACAACGCCGTTCATGTGTGGTAGAGAAAAATCTCTCTTCCATCTTCAGTCTCGATATGTGCAAGGATAGCAGCATTGAGATGGGAAAACAAGAGCACCCTCATCCTGCTCAGAAAAATAATTTGGCTCCAACTTACAAAAATGCTACAGAATTGGAATACAGGATCCCAGTTACTCCACTCCATTTCCCCACTTCTATTCCCAGTTCCCAGTTCCCAGTGGGCTTTCATAGTTTTCAATGAGCTACTTTTATCCTCCATAACTAGATCTATTTTTGCCTAGCCAGTATGTCTGCATCTTTGGCATTCCTCCAAACCAGGGGTCTCCAACCTTGGCAACTTTAAGACTTGTGGACTTAACTGGCTGAGGAATTCTGGGTGTTGAAGTCCACAAATCCTAAAGTTGCCAAGGTTAGAGATCCCTGCTCCAAACAACCTGTTGATACCAAAAACAATGCCTCTTATTGCCTGAACATGAGAAACAGGACGAATGATGTTTTTGCATTTTTATGTGTATGTTGTTTCCTACCCATTTGGTTCTTGAACTAATATATCACAGATTAAAGCAATAATAATAAAAAAAAATGAGGCCATTTACCAATCATTAAAGACATTTTAAAAAGGCAAAAGAGAACAGAGCATATAGACAATAGCTGCAATCCTTAGAAACAGCTCCTCTAAATAGAGCATATTTCTAATGTTACATTTTTATGTATAGGATTGTACTTTAATCCCCTTTTAATAGCTGGGCAAATAAAAAATAAAAGCTTCAGGAATGCAGATCTCTCAAAAAGATATTTGTCAATTTCCAAGAAGGTACAAATTTTAAATATGTCATTTTTTTATTTTCTCATTTGTTATGAAATTTTGTTATGAAATGAGGAAGAAATTTCTGTCCCCAAGAACCAGAAAGGAAAAAGTCACATCTGCACAATCTTTTCTGTACCATTGTTTCACTGGTGGGAGATACTAGCTCCTCTTCCTCCTCCTCCTCCTCCTCCTCCTTCCTCCTCCTCCAGCATAGCCAAAAAAGATAGGCTAGAACTGTTATGATGAACCTATGGCACGCGTGCAATAGGTGGCATGCGGAGCCACATTGGTGGGCACGCAAGATCAGCTCCGGCATGCATGTGTGTGCCGGCAAACTGATTTTCTGGGGCCACCGGAAGTCGGGAAACAGGCCATTTTTGGCCTCCGGAGGGCCTCCGGGCAGGTGGGGAAGGCCATTTTCGCCCTCCCCAGGCTACTAGAAAGCCTCTGGAGCCTGGGGATGGCGAAAAATGGGCCTACCAGGCCCACCAGACCATCACATGCCAAAAGCGGGGTGGGGTCACGTGCGCATGCGCGGGGGGTGGGGTGCATAGAATTATGGGTGTGGGCACATGCGCGCAAGACCCCACCCCCGCGCTCCCCCGGCTTTTGGCACGCGATGGCAAAAAGGTTAGTCATCACTGGGCTAGGAGATGGGAAGCCAGCTACATATAAATCAATCTCCATTTCAATATTGCCAGACCCTGCTTCTTCCTGGACATAAATAGACTTTCATAACGTTCCATATACAATTTTCTTAATTATTACTAAGAGAAAGAAAATTACCAAGAGAAAGAAAAATGTTCCAAAATTTTATCAAGAATTTTTTAATAGAGATAGTAACCTGTGGCAGGAATCATTTCATGAGATTCCTTGGGATTTATTTGATGTATTGGAAGCCAGGAAAAATAAATCAACCTTCTTATTGGAGGGCAGATATTCTTTCCATCTCCCTGTCTCTTTTTCCATTGGTATTTTAGCAAGCGTTTAGATTACAATCAAATCGTTATTTACTTTTCTGAAGGTCATCAAATGCTATAGAGGCAGACTACAATAAAAAACAACACTTGGAGATCATATTGCTAACTCAATGCAAGATTTAACTATAAGAACAGTGCAGCCAAACTCCACCCATGAGAATGTCATCAAAATGCCAATTCTCCTTTAAAAGAGAGAGCTTGTCAAATGAGGGATCAGGGTGGGTGAATTAAGTCCAAAAAACCAACTTTCACACTTTACACACACAAAATTCAACATACAGCTTTGTGAGATTTTGTGTGTTTGTGTAGTTAGAGTGAAACACTAAAGAATTACACTAAATCTCAGAAAGCTGCACAAATATTATTTTATTTTAATTTATTTTTATTTTTATATAAAAGCAGCTAAATTTAAAACTTCCTAAACTTTAAATGGCTAGGTCTAAAAAAAGAATAACTAAAAAAAAAACCAATTAACTATTTTTTTTAAAGCTCCCAAAGGGGAAAAAAACTTACCCAATAGAACAGGGGTCTCCAACCTTGGCAACTTTAAGACTTGTGGACTTCAACTCCAAGAATTCCTCAGCCAGCTTTGCTGGGAGTTGAAGTCCACAAGTCTTAAAGTTGCAGATAGAGCTGCTCACCGATGAGCTTGATTGCAGGCAGGGAGATTCAGTTGCTTGCTGATGCAATGGATTGCAGGTACTACAGCGTTGCGACCAGCAGCTAAGGTAAGCAAGCTGGAGGCTGGGGGGGGGAAGAAACTTTTTTTCTTTTACATGGCTCTGGCGATCCAAGCTGAGTTGCCTGATTAGCAGGCAACTCAGCTGGGCTCGTCAGAGCTTGGCTCGTCAGAGCCATTTTAAAGAAAAAAAAGGCTCTGATGATTGCGCGGCTCAGCTGGGCATGGGGGGCGGGTGCAGGGATTTTTGCTACCGGTTCTCCAAACTGCCCGCCGCCATCGCTGCCTACTCGCCCGAGCCGGTCCGAACCGGGAGCATTTCACCCCTTCAGTTGACCCATGTAATGCTTTCTTCCAAAGTCCTCAGATAAAGAATTAAAAAGAGATCTCAGTTTCTCATTCTGAGAACTTGGAAATCAGGATGGCTGCATAGGTTCCCTTACCAACTCTTCAAAATGTGAGGGATTCCTCAGAATAAAGTATTTTCTCAGGAATGTTATGCACCCATCCCAATGGCCCGGCTCTCACAATATCATTACTAAAATCAGATTGGCTAATTATGGTTCAGTATGTTTCATGAAATTGTTAATCGTTACCTTTTTTCCAAGAGCTCAATAGCAATAGCAATAGCACTTAATCTTATATACCGCTTCATAGTTCATAGCCCTCTCAAGGCAGTTTACAAAGTCAGCCTATTACCCCCAACATTCTGGGTCCTCATTTTACTGACTTCAGAAGGATGGAAGGCTGAGTCAAAGCTGAGTCCGTCAGGATCGAAC